TATATATATATATTTAAGCCAATAATATATATGTAAACAGTTAAGCCAATAAGTCCACTTATTGAATATAATCCTGATTATAGAAATAAAATATCTGAGGGATAAAGGATCATGAAGATGAGAGAGGGGGGGAGGGAGAGAGGAATGTAAGGTAATTCAGGGGACTATTCTATTATCCCTTTTATCTCTCAAATGAATGACACAGAGACCTGGTATATTTATTACAAGCTTAGTGCTTCTGGCACTAAGTTGAACAGGTTCTAAGCTATTCTAACCTGACTCTGCTGGCCTGTCCTACTCCCCCGCCTACTTTCCAACCAATTGTCCTGTTCCTGCCACTTTGGTCTCACCTTCTTCCTTCTTCTTCTGTATCCTCTCAGCAACTCCTCTGCTCATGATGAATGCCTCATGGTGAATCTCTCAAGGCAAATCTCCTCTCTTTGGCCTCTACCAGAGACCCTCTCATTGTGCCTGGCAGTCCAGCCTCCTCTTACCTCCCCAGCTATTGGCTGGATGAGCTCTTCATTAACCAATCAGAGATGATGGGGAACAATGTTTTACAAAATTCTAAGTCAGAAAATGCTTCATAATGACAATTTTAAAAATCCAGACTGCACCCAGATCTCTGTGCAAAATAATCAGCATCTCAGCATCTGAATACACAGTGCACAAAAGCATTCCCCAACATGAGAATGAGTATTTGGATGGAGGAAATGGAAGGGGGAATTTCAGGAAGTTAGTTATAATTATATTATAATATAATGATATTTATATGTATATAATATATATTTATTTATTATATTTATATATATGTATATATGTGTGTATATATGTATATATAAATATAATTATATTATAATCTCAAAAAATAAATGAGAAAAAATTTAAAGGTCAAGTAATGTGCCCAAGGTTATCAAGGCCAGCTGGCTTCAGAGTTTCACCTCTTAACCACTAAACTTGTACAGAATAGTAAACATTTAAATTTCTTACTAGTACTAAAAACACCAATAGACAATTGGGCTAAGTATTTGATTCTTTAGCTACTGAAAAAATCTTGTGATGTTGCAGTATAAAATTTTGGGAAGTAGTGAAAATAGACTCATGTGCCACATTCTAGAGCTACTTCAGACACAAATTGGCTGTATATAGCCAAGTTTCTAAGACAGTCAGTGACCCCACCACTAAACAGGAACAGCACATAGATGGTTTTGAAATTTTAGATTTGAATTTCTGTTACCCACGTATGTTCTTTGATGCTATCTTTCTGCAGATACTTTGTGATTACAAATGTACAAAGCAGGGGAGGCTGGAGAGATGGCTCTGTGGTTTAGAGCACTTGTTGCTGTTGAGGAGGACCTAGATATCACTACCAGCATATACATATTGACTCAGAGCTATCTCAAACTCCAGTCACAGGGGATCTGATGCCCTCTTTCAGTCTCCACAGATACTAAGCAAGTTTATGATGCACATGCATATCCAGACAAAACATTCATACAAATAAATACATCAAAAAATTAAAGAATCTAAAACATGGAGATTCTTAAAACATTGATAAAAATTTTCCAAAATCACAGGTTATATGAAGGCAGAGAAAAGCATTTTAAAATCATGATCTTCTGATAATTAATTGGCAATAGAATTAAAAAAATCACAACTATGTATAGTAACTTGGGAAGTGTAGGGTTTGAGTCTTGACCTGAATTCAGTGTCCCCATGTGCTATTCGTATGTTTTAGAGAATTTTCTTGACTCTCCAGGAAGGAAACTGTATTTATACCTAGGCTACAGATCTTCTGTGCATGTTGACATGCTGAAGTACCATACACTTAGTATTTAAAGGATGATAGTATTGTTAACTTCTACTTCTTGTTGATAACTTCCATCTTCAGGTGTAGCAGTACCAGGGATTATTAACACTTGTCCATGCTGATCCTGTATGTTAAACATTAGTCTACTATGTTTGGTGTTATCGGAATATTTTTCAAATGTCAGTGTAGATGTTAATCTCAAAAAGTTTACAATCCATGAAAGGATATAATGATGTAAACGCTATTAGTTCAAGAAGATAGAGATGGTTATAGTACTAAAGAAGTCACACCCAACCCACTTCAGTGTAGGAGAAACACAGCTCAGGCAAAAATAATCAAATAAGTATTGACATGCAAATAATAACATACTGTGTGGTGTAAAGGCGTGCCTTCTTGGACCATTACCTATCAGAGTCATTCATCATCACTGTGACCTCCAAGGTGACTTAAAAGATGAATGCTACCACACGCTTTATCATAAACTCTGCTAGACACTATTATTTCAATCTATATTTTATATGACCTTAGAGCTTAATATTTTGCCGAGTTATTTCATAAATGATCAAACATTGTTTTCTCTGATTCTTTTGAAGAATTAAATGCAAGATATTCTGACTATCTCCCCAACCAACACGATATATTTTAAAGGACTGTAATCCCTTAGAAATTATTTTGCGTACCCCTGCTATCTTTAATCAAACATTTCTCCCGCTTGACATGTCTTCAACATTCCTTCCAGATTTTCATTGGTGAAATATCCATGTATTTCATAAAGTCAACAAGAGAGTCCCTGATTGCTGAGGAGAAAATGATCCTGACAGGGGACTGCTGCTACCTGAGCCCCTTACTCCGAAGGATCATTAGGTTCATTGGTAAGTTCAACAAAGAGTTGTGCTCCCAAAGATAGGCGAAGCTTACTAAACTTGGTGGATATACTTGAGAAAATAAGCCAAGATATAGCAGGGCCAGCATGAAAAGCAATGGCTGTTTGGGGATTTTCCACTAAGAGTAAAGGTAAACCTAATCCTCATGCCATGTCAAATATTTGATCCTTGAAGTAAGATGTGATTTATTAAATTGTTGTACAGAGTCAAATATTTGATCCTTGAGGTAAAGTAGTGTTTACTAAATTGTTATGCAGAATGATTCCAATCAATTTTTCCCTGCTTGACATTTCTCTAAGGTCATCCCTGGACATATATTTTAACATTGATTGGGTGTTGACATATACTAAAGGGTAAGGGATCAGGGTTGGGTTGGGGGGACAAATGGGAATATCAATAAAATGAAATAATCAAATTTTCTGGCAAAGTTCTCCTGACTTATAGATTTGTTATCCAGGAAATATAACAAAATATGAGATATCAAATCCATCAGATTCTTGAAAACAATGCATTTTTAAACTTGGAAAAGGAATGTTTAGTTTATTGTTCATAATAAAGAATAATGAAGGTATGTTTGATATCCTTCCTTAAAAATGCCTATATTGCTATGAATAATGATTATAGAATGGGAATTTATATATTAGTGCAGGTAGAAATTTAAATATTGCATAATGCTCTCTCTATAAATAAATGGTCAATAAATGACCATTATTAGGTCAATAGTGTAGGAAAACCTTGTAAATGTGCTGACAAGACCATCATAGGAGCCCCAATAAAATTTCTAAACTATGAACATAGCTGTTATTTTAAAAGCTATGGTATTATTTAGAAGACAGGGAACTAGTATATCATGCCTTCATACCTTTTGATAAATAATTAATAACTTTCTTCCTGTTATAGTAAAGGGTTCAAACTATAAACAAATGACCTTATCAAAGTTTAATACAGAATAACATCTCTGGATTAGGAATGAAGAAGGTACTAGAGCAGGAAGCCTAAGAAAAGGTTATGTAAATATAGCAAATTAAAATTTAACACTTAGATACTCTAAAGAATGTACGAAAGTCTACAAATTAATTTTTTTCTAAACTTCAGAGGACTACATTTGGCTCACTTGGGTATAGCTTGATCAATATGATGTTACTACTGTCTAAGTCAACAGTTCCAAACAATGGTTCCTTTCAAACACGTCCAAAGTTAGACCAGTTTCCAACAAACTGACTAACTACCAAATCATGAGAAAGGAGGAGAGAAGAGAATATTTATCTCACTCAGTACTGAACTAGATAGTTCATTACATTACTCCATTTGATCCACTCAAATTACATGAAGTGTTTTAGTTTTTGACATGTATAAATAAAGTCTCTACTAAAAATACAAATTGAGATTGACTCAAATCTATAATTTATGTAATAATTTATATACTATACTACAATTTATTTATAATTTTATTCAATATTGTATGATCCTTCCATCTGATCTGCTCCCTACACATGCAAATAAACAACTTATTCAATGAAAACCATTTTAAATAATTATTTTATTTATTCACATCCTGAATGTTGCCCCCTCCCAGTTCCCCCTTCCAGAGTTCTATATAGAACTCACCCTACCTACTATTGAGTGATGACACATTTTTTTCCATTTGGACTTTGTATGCAAGAAGGAATATGTTGAAGAGATTACCAACATTACCATGCCATGGTATGGTTATGGGGAAGGGATTATTGTAGATATTAGACAGAGAACAGTTGGAGGCATCTGGAAGAGGCAAGAGCACAGAAAGAAAGAAGAAGACTTAACAAGGCCAGCAGACTGGATGTGGCCAGGGCTATCTCTGAGAGATGGGAAGAGAACAGGGGATAGAGAATAAAGAACACAAAGAGAGAACAGTGGGGTTATAAAGAGAGTGAGTAGTTGGGGTGAAGGAAGGATCAGAGAACTGGCATGGGGGACTTTGGAATGTGTAACAAGTACTTGTGGTAGTGAGGGAGCTTGGAGGCCAACGCTGGAGAGAGCTTTGCTATGAAACCATGGGTGTATGACAATGGAGACTCATGTGTCCCTTCAGCTGGAAGTTAGAGAAATGACTCCTTTTGACAAATAGGAACCAGTCTCACAAGTTCCTGAGGAATGCTTACCAGAAATCCTCTTAGAGTGCAGCTTGAGCTCCTTTCTGAGTATTGAACTTCCTTTTGGAGTCTGGGGAACTGAAATTTCCTTTGGAACTGACAAGTTTATCATAAGATAGTAGAAGTCTGGATGCTAAAAGCATAAGGCAGAGACAGATATTCAAATAAAGCAACATGATACTGTAGCCGATAGGTAATATGTAAAGCTTGAGAAATTAGAAGCATCAATAAAAAGCAATGATCACAATATCACAAGAGGATTTGCTTCATATATTCCTTGTTTTATGACACAGGGATCTGCCTATTTGCTCAACCAGAAAATCTGGGAGACTCTCACCATCTGGGAATTTGTTAGCAATGCAGATCTGTGGAACCCACCCCACATTTACTCTGAGGATTTAGCCTGATGGTCAGTGTGAAAAGTGAAAACCACTCACTTAAGCAATTAAAATTCTTTTATCCCCATGAGAGTTTCTCCATATGTTACGTCGAAACTCAGAAACTCAGTTATATTCAGCCTCAACTCTACAAAAATACCATCTTGCTGCCATTGGTGTGTGTGTGTGCATGTGCCTGTGTGTGGTGTATATACACATTCATGTGTGTATCCATATGTGTACATGTATGGTGCTTGAAGAAGGACGTAGGATGTGGTGCTCTGTGACTCTCCACCATACTCCATTGTGACTGGGTTGCTCTGAACCTGGAGCTAGGCTGACAGCCTGAAAGTCCCAGTGATCCTCCTGTCTCCACCTGCTACAGCACTGAGGTTACAGGCACACATGGCCACACCCAGTTTCTTACATGGGTTTTGGGGAGTCAAACTCAAGTGCTCATGCACTTGGCACATTCCAAGCACACCTACACACTGAGCCATCACTCTGAACCATTTTCACATGTTCTTTGCATAGCCTACAGAGCCCTTAGTGATCTGAAACTTCTTTCATCTGCAGTCTCATGTCCCTTGATAAATGGCTTTAGTGGCCCTCAGAAAGATGATAGGACCCCCATCTCAGTTCCTGTTCATGTTGTCTTCCTACTGTCTAGAGTACTCTTTTACCATAGCATCTGGCCACAGCCTTCAGGATCTGTCTAAGCATTACCTATTTAAACCTATCCAAACAGGTCTTCCAGACCCTCATTAAACCTCTCCTTTAATCTTTTATAAGTACTTAACATACTAATATTGTAGCTTAAGCCTTTAGCTCCTAATAATTTCTGATCCTTGCAGAATTGAGACTCTATGTGAACAGCATATCGTAAGCAACACGCCTCAAACATAAACTTTGAATAAATGTAGGGCTTGGGAAGTCTTTTTAATTTTGTTTTTTGTTTGTTTGTCTGTTTTTGTTTTCATTGCTGTTGTTGCTTTGGGGAGGGGGTTGGGGTTTTTTGATTTTTGTTTTGGGGTTTTATTTTGGTTTTGGTTTTGATTTTGATAAATGAAGAGCAAAGATAAATTTTGTTAATTAATACACTTTCCTAAAACTAGTTTCACGAAGGCTGATTCTTATGTCTCCATTTGCCTCCTCTTTTTCATGACCCTGATTACCAATCCAGTTTGATTCTAGAACTTAAAGTTCTAGAACCAAACAAATAAGGCGAGTTGGAAAAGAGAGATATGGAAGTTCATTCTACTTTTTATACAGCAGTATCACAAAGAGGAGAGTGAAGAGGTCTATCTATCCTGACAAGGTTAATTGCTGGGTATCTAGGTTATTTTATTTATAAAAGGGAGGAAATGTATTTGTTGAAATAAAAACCGTTTAAATGGAAATATTTCCTTCGACAAAAATTAAAGTAAAATAAAGCAGTTACCAAACTCTATTAGAAACATTGCTATAACGAGCTTAATCGTCTTTTTTCTAAGCCAGCAGTCAAAATACATAGTCTGCAATTGGCATTGGGAAATGACAACTGTTTTAAATGACTATTCTAATTAAGCCTAAATGGTATGATTTTCCCCTTGCAGTTTATGTAATTGTTTTTGAAGCCATTTTAAATAGTATTCCCTAGCAACTACCATCAGCATTGTGTTAGCATAAAAAAATAAAAAATAAAAAGTCAATGGATTACCAAATTATTTTACGGAAATATGCTTCCTAGCAGGAGTATCAGGAGTAGCAGTGTTTTGTCTGGCAGGAATATATGGAGACATCCTTTCTGCAAGCCTTAGAAACAGACATCCTTTCAAACTCCACATTCCATGTCAAATCACGTATCCTAAGAAAGAAGAGATGTTGATTAATTGTATGGATTAAATGAATTTTCCATAATATAAATTAAAATATCAAACTGATAACAGTGGGACTGGGAAAATGGCTCTGCAGCTAGAGGAAGTACTGATCTTGCAGAGGACCCAAGTCTGGTTTCCAGCAGTCAGTCAGTGGTTCACAGCAGCCTCTCACTCCAGCTCCAGGGGACCCAACGCCTCCAGCTTTCACAAGTGTCTGCGTTTATATCCACACACTCACACACATACAAATGATTAAAAAATACATCTTTCAAAAAAATCCAATAGTGCTGTAGCTTCCATTATAACCTCAAAATACCATTAAACGTATTTAATGAAAGGAAACTATCTATGATATAATGAATAGTAAAAGAATATAAATGCATATTAAAATATTTTTTATTTATAAATGTAGAAATAAATCTGCGCATAATAGGAGAGCAAACACCTGGGATTCTAGCACTGAGGGAGGAGTGCGGGTGAGGGTAAGGTGGCAACATTGAGAGTTCAAATCCAGCCTGGGCTACATAGCAAAACCCTGTCTCAAATTAAAAAAAGATATGGTATAAAAGTCTATGTTATGTTTATATGCCCTTAAAATGAGAACAAATGACAATGAAAAAAGATCATGCATTTGAAAGAGAGCCAGGACGCTACATGGGAGGCTTTGAGGTGGAAAAAGAAGAGAGAAATTATATAATTATAATATAATCACAAAAATAAAGTAAAAATAATAGATTAAAATGAAAGTTGACCATTATTACTTCAGAGTGTAAGATTATAAGTGAATTGTTTTGATATCTACTGCTCTGTTATTTTGATTCATTTAATTGTGAATATGTTTAATTTTAAAAACAGAAAAAGACTAAAGATTTAAGAGTATTTAAAACAAAGATGTATGATGTCTCTCCTTTTCCCCTTTCCATTCCTTTTCCTTCTCACTGCATCATATTACAGAAAAATAATCTACAACCTTAGGTTCTCAAGAAAGATGAAACCCTGGCATCCTTTGCAGCAGTGAAGACTTAAGTAATGAAGCCATAGATTTCCCCCAAAATATAAGGAGATAAACATACTTCTGGGGGGAAAAACCTATTGTAAAAATCAGTTCTTAAATGATTGCTTTTTGGCTCAGCACTGAGGAGTAATTAGTAAAAAGTAGAATTAGCCAGGCTTGGGGCTGCCTTACAGAAAGGAGACTAAATTAACTTTCTCTTCCTGAATAGCTTTTCTGTGGAGTTACTGGAAAAATACTACACACATGCCAACAGTAGACTCTCTGTTAGCACCTAAAACAGCCTACCATTCAGAAACCATTTATTATGGGCTTTTCATTGGTGACCACAGAGCTATTCTATTATTACTTCTAATGAAAAATGTAATTAAATACTACACAAGTTTTTTGCATTTTAGATCAAGTCCAAGGATTAAGTACACTGGGCAGAACGAAAAGTGCCATGGTAAACAGTTAATGAATGTAACACTAATTAATAAATTAACTGTGATCTGAATGAAGCATGAATATTTTAAATGCACTTTCAAAGGTCATCATGTTTTATGGTTGTAAGGATTGATATTCAGAGACAAGCTTAATTTCAGCCTTTTGAGAACTAGAAAATTAGTCTCAATTTTAAAAGTCATTTAAATGTACTTATTCTGGAAAGAGATTTCATTTAATCATTTTATTTCTACTTAATTATTTATCATTTAAACATGGGGGGATCAGTCATGTTCACTCAACCTTCAGCTAATAGTTTACTGAGAACCTTCAGGTAGTAATTTATTGAGAATCTACTTTATGTTAGGTTCTGATAGAGTTGAGGGGGACACTTTTTATCAACAAAGCTGAATAAAATTTTCTTTAGTTGATTTTCTAGGCTAATTTGGAAAGATAGGCATTAAACAACATCAATAACTAAATTATGTTTTTTAGAAGATATATACTACAGAGAAAAATTAATGGGGAAAATGAAAAAGGGTGCTTGTACAAATTTAAATGTAAATCTCAATGGAATAAGGCTGTTGTCGATCAATAAGAACTGTCTAGAGTTAATAGAAAGTTGACAGAATTGGATATTACCCCAGAAGCTTGAAATACCCAAGATTCAACTCACAGGTCTCATGAAGCTCATGTAGAAGGAAGACCAAGTAGGAGTGCTTCAGTCCTTCTTAGAAGGAGTAACAAGATACTCAAGGGAGCAAATATGGAGACAAAGCGTGTGACAGAAACTGAAGGAGGGGCCATCTGGAGACCATTCCACCTGAGTATCCATCCCATGTGCAGTCACCAAAGGTAGATGCTAATGTGGAAGTCAGGAAGTGCATGCTGACAAGAGCCTGATATAGCTGTATTCTTAGAGGTCTGCAAGAGTCTGACATATTCAGAGGCAGATGCTCACAGCTAACCATTGATCTGATCATGGGGTTCCCAATGGAGGAGTCAGAGTGAAGACTGTAGGAGCCGAAAGGGTTTGTGGCACCATGAGGAGAGCAACAATACCAACCAACCAGAGCTCCCAGTGTCTAAACCACCAGCCTGGGAGCACATAGGGAGGGATCCATGGCTCCAGCTATATATGTAAGAGAGGATGGCTTTGTCAGGCATAGGTGGGAGAGGAGATCCTTGGTCCCATGAAGGCTGGACACCGAGTGTGTGGGAATTTGATGGTGGGGGAGTAGGAGTGCTGGTGTGGGGTCCTCATCCTCATGGAAGCAGGAGGAGGGGGGATGTGATGGGGGTTCCTGGGTGGAGCAAAAATCACATCACTTGCATGAGATCAACTGGTATAAAGCTGTGTTTCTCATCCTCGCCATAGCTGGCATGTTAAGCCAATGCTCTAGTAACAACAAGCATGATATGGTTTCGTTTCTCTTACTGTTATAAAATACCTTGGCTAAAAGCACCTTAGCAAGGCTCCCAGTCCCAGGTTCTTGACTGTTACTGTGAGAAAGTCAATGCAGCAGAGACTTGAAGCAGCTACGTGTATCACATCCACAGTCAATAAGAGAGAGATGAGTGCACACATGCTTAGGGCTCAGCTAGATTTCTCTAGTCTTCTATAGGCTAGGGCACCAAACCAGGAGTGGTCCCCACTCACTTTCATTCCTCTGTTGATGAAGACAATAAAGTCAATCCCCCTCAACAGTGTCCGTAATCCAAACTGATGGAGACAGCCCTTTGTTGACATTCTCTTCCCAAGTGACTGCAGGTTGTATCAAGATGACAATTAAAATTCACTGTCACAGTCAGACGTTCCTTTTTTTGTACAGGAGTAGAGCAGAATTGTCTACTTACTGTAGGATATTTCACAACATCTTTGGCCTCCCCCTAGCCAGATACCTGCCATACCATCCCCTCTTGTACTAGTGTCCTTCAAAAATCCCTTCCAAACCAGAGTATCCCTTGGGAGGAAGGATCACGCTTAGTTGCTAACTGCTGTATTCTTTAAGAAAACAAGTATGTTTTAACAACTGTCAAAACATGATGGCGATTTTTGCTATGTAAGATATCTCATAACAAAATTTGTCATAGTCACAAAAATACTGTCTGAATATCTGTAGTTATTTGCAGCAGTTAATAGAGAGTAGGTTCAAAGCTTTATGTAAGAATAACAGCAAGTGTGTTCAGGGAACTACTCAATAAAATGCTTAGGAAATGCATCATGCCACACAGGACCATCAGTCCAGTGTCTCTTAATCACCATAGGACTGGTGACTGCCCAGCCTTCGTGATGCTGCTCTGAAGGTGGAAAGGGGAATAGATCATCAACTACAGATTTAAAATCCTATAAACAGAATCAGAAGAAGATTTAAGGAACTGTGGGAGTCCTCTGAGCCCTTAGGTTTTAACATCTCTGTTTTCAGCTCATCATAGAAACATTTCTCTCTGCATCACTTGTATCTGGGCATACTTCCTGGGTTTATCTGTAGCCACATTCACCATCTACTTTATTTAAAATCATCGTGCACCCAATGCAGCCGAAAAGGAGTGCGTGGTGCTGGGAGTGGGTGCAGCCTACATGGCCTAAGACAGGGCTCTCACCCTCCTTTCACCCACATCGGAGTCCCTTGACGTTGCCCATCATCGACAGCCTAAAACCTTCGACCATCGATGTGACTCGTCTCACAGCAGTGTTTTGGGGTTGTGAACTTGTCTAAGACCCCCCATAATTAGACATCCAAATTCAAAATTCACATAGTTGGGATTGATCATAAGATGCCTTCTCTAACTAAACAGAGAAGGGGGAGATGCCAGAAGCCAGGACCCTCGCCCTTATCCTCACCCCCTACCTTTCCCCACCTGCACAATGTCCTCTGAAGCTTGGCAACTGCAAGATCCTGCTTAGCAACTGCAGATAGACTCAAAGCAGTGTACCATATCATCTTAAGAATAGCAGGGAGACCACAACTCAAGCAGTGTACCATATCTTCTGAAGAACAGCAGGTAGATCATAATTCAAGGCAGTGTACCGTATAGACCATGACATGTTTCAAGGCACAGGCCAAGAAGATTTTGTACTTTTCCACCACCTGGCCCCTCTTACCCCCTCCCCTTGTAAAACATGCTATAAAAAAGCATTTCATGCTCAAAAATAAATAAATAAATAAATTATTTAAAAAAAAATAAAAAATAAAAAAATAAAATCATCGTGGCCTCTGGCTAACATTTGGCTTTTCCCCCCTTTACTAATCAGCATGTAGATTCACACATCTAGCAGGACTAAGAAACAGCTACTTAAAGACTAGTCGGGTGAAAGGGGGCAACAGAGGGTAAAACTGAAGGGTCTGACAGGGCAAGAGTGGGGAAACAGCAGGGTAAAAGAGGTGTATGACACCAGAGAGAGAGACAGACAGACAGAGACAGAGAGACAGGGAAAGAGAGACAGAGAGAGAGGGCACCCAGGGTCTGTCCTATAAAGAATGAGGAAAGAAGGTATTCTCTGTTCCCAGTTTGTGCTACTGTACTTTGGGAGGAGGGAGATGTATATTTGTTAGTTTTGGCCTTTTATTTATGAAAATATTCAATATTTGTGTTTTAGCTGATAAACTGTCATGTTTTTAGGTAACTATCCTTTGTCATCACTTCCTGTGATTAGAACTTACAACAGTGACAAACACGGGGATTATTTTTAAAACAGACCAGCTCATTATGCTATAGAAATTGTTTTCTTGAAACAGAAGATAAATAACACATGGTGCTGAATATTTTTCTTAGCTTTTCAGAATTACAGATTTCTTATCTCATCAAGTTTTAGAAAGAAGTTAAAAAAACTTATCTCTACTTCTTTCATTTACAGTAGCAGTATCAATTTAGAACTAGTAATTTTTGAAGTATTTTTATGATTTGAATGACAGCTGTGTGCTATGGGGGCTATTTAAAGCATATTCCAAAAGAAAGCACACAGTGAAGATAGATAGCTACGTTGTGAGGTGAGAGACCCTGAAATATTGCAAACCAATACGAGGAACTAGAATTGTGTAGGATTCAGAGACAGCCTAAGAAGAGAGAGAAAATATCCCACTTTCTGTCACCCAATTCCACAGCCAAGGAAAGAAGAATGCCATTTTTCTGGGGTAACTGGAGTAATCCTAGTGACTAAAAAGTTTCACAATCCACACAGGCTTTGGGGTCACTTAAATAAACAAACTGAAATCTAAGAGGAAGCCTAGCTTTGGGAAAAGAACTCATACCATCTCCCAGTGACCCCACAGGATGCTGTAGGTAGGAACCATCTTGAAGAGTGAGCTGCTGTCCGAGTTTGCCCAACATGTTCCTGTCTCTGCAATTCCACAGATATTCCATATGCTAGGTTAGGAAAAGCTTTACTAATGCAACTTGGTCCAGCAAGGTGACTCTGACCTAAGCTTGCTGGATGGCCACATTGTGGATGATAGATATCATCATATGAGGGAACAGAGGCCACTACTTTGAGGACTCAGAATCAGGGTGCTTGCCCTCTGAAAGCAGTGGTGGAGTTAGCTCTGTGTGACTCTGGTATCAGGACTAAAGGCAGCCACCTATGCAGTTCCCATAGTCCCTATCACAGCAGGGAGGAACAGCACACCTCTGCCCCTGCTCTTCCCAATAGTGAGCTGGTAGAAACATCAATGGCTTAGTTTCTCATCTTCCCACCAAAGCCTTGCCCACTCTAGCTAATGTCACACACAGACAAAACATGGCAGCTTTGCTGTCATCATACTCACACACTTTCTACACAAACATACACACACACCCTTTTGTCTGAACACAAACAGTTATCAGAACCTAAGTGTACTACAGAGTGATTACCATTATTCTTACTGCTACTATTTCTACTTATTCCAATGTATTTTAAATAATTCTTGTAATGGGATTACTCTCATGCTTTCTTGTCAAAATTGCTAAAAACTTGTTATTGGTGTATAGAAAATGGCTTAGTTTTTGCATGCTGACCTTGTACCTCAAAGCTTTAACTCACCTTTCTGTTCTATTGTATTTTGCTGGAGATGTCAGCATTTTCTCATCAGATCATTTGCAAACAGGGATGATGACGATTCCCTCGTTTATCATGTGCCCTTTTTTCTTTTCCCTTGTCCAGTTGATTAGTTTAACAAGGCAAAAAAAAAAAAAAAAAAAAAAGACCTGTTGGTGAAAATTCTAAATCACTAATGAAATAAGCTGTAGAAGACTTCCAGAAAAGAGAGAGACTCCCCATGTTTGTGTATTAAATGGTTACTGTTAAGATGTCTGTGCTACCCAAAGAGATGCAGAGATCTGATGTAATTAATCCTCATTAAAATACTAATGATGTACTTCATAGAACTAAGAGAAAATCCAAAATTTTATATGAAAGCACACAAGACTGCAAACAGCCAAGCAGCCATGAGTAAAATGAGCAAAGCTGGAGGTGTCCTAGTTTTAAGACACATTGAAGAGGTACAGTAAACTAAATCCATCTCTTGACAAAGGCACCAAGACACACACAGGAAAATGGACAGCCTCTTTTTCAGACAGCACTGAAGAAATGATGTATCCACATCAGAAGACTGTGTGTATCTCTCAGCTTGCAGAAAAATCAATCCAAATGAACAAAGTACCTAAATACAAGACTGGAAACCCTGGGTTGGGGGAGAAGCATGGCAGGAATCTATGACTCTAGCAGCACAGAAAACAGAAGCAAAACTTGCAAGGGGGAGTTACACCAAGCTTAAAGGCTTTTGCATCTATTTTATTACTAGTTCCTCAAACTAGAACTGACCTTAGTACTTACATGTAATTAAAATGGTATAAAAGCAAAACGGAGGAGGGAGAATGGGATAGGGGTTTCTGTGGGGGTGGGGGGAGGAAATGGGGAAAGGGGATGACATCTGAAATGTAAATAAATACAATATCCAATAAAAAATAGAGAGAGAGAAAACAGCTTTTGCAGGAGAAAAGAAGTGAAACTGTCTAAACAACAATATGGACTAGCAAGAAGAAAGAAAATGTCCAGAGGGGAGCAGGGAGATGGAATCCTCAACATGCAATGCAAACCTGTATGAAAAGCTTAAAATGTTTTAACGTTCTAAATGTTAACATCTTCACACCAAAGGAAACAATCACCAGAGTGAGCAGACTGCCTACATAATGAGAGAAAATAGTTAGCAATCATATATACAATAGTTGATATCCAGAATATATAAAGAGATAAAGAACATTTTAAAATAATTTATTTTTAAGGAATAAATAAGCCAGGTGTGGTGGTACACGTTTATAATCCCAGCACTAGGAGGTGGAGGCAGGAATGTCAGGAATCTAGGCCAGCCTCACCTATCCACATGTATCAAAACAAGCAAACAAAATGACGGGCAAATAACCTGAATAGATACTTCTAAAAAGAGGAAATGTAACAGGAAAAAAAAAGTGAACATGTGCCCTGAATCACTAACATGAAAGACAGTCAAATAAAAAATTGATAGGTCATCTCACTTCAGTTAAAACAAAACAATAAAAGGAATGTCTGGTTTGGATGTGGAGAAAAAAAAAGAACTCTTCTTTGTTGGTGAGAAAGTTAATTAGTGCAGCCACTGTGAAGAACATAGAAGTAACCCAGAAAACCCAAATCGGTTTTTCTGTCTGACCCAGCTGTTCCAGTTGTAGGTATATAGCCAAAGAGAATGAAAGGGCTGTGTCAAACAAGTGTATGTTGGGGAGGAAGGCTGGGCACAGTGCAGTCTCATGTGGCCACAAAGAAGACAGAAATACTGTCATTTTTTTTTGAGAAAATAGATAGATCAAGAGATCATGATGTTAAGTAAAACTAGACAAACTCTCCCTCTCTTCCCTCTTCCTTACATTCTCCCACCCTCTTCCTTCCTTCTTCTTTCCCCTCCCTCCTTTCTTCCCTCTCCCCCTCATAAACACTAAAGAATGGTGACTTAGAAATAGAGCCATATTTATTTAGAATTTAGGAGAGGTATTAGAGGTGGTAAAATTTCCTTCAGTTTGTACAGTGCATGCTATGTGTGTATATGGACACATCACACTGAATCCCACTCCCACTGTTGCGCACAAAGTAATTTTAAATGTAATTTTTTAGAAAAAAATATCATCAGTCAGTAATCTAAGTCGACTGTAGACCCATCATGAAACACCACCATCTGGCTAGGCAAGATGCAATAGTGACATACCTGTTCCAAGATAATCAACCACTTTCTGATTGGATTGAGGCCTGCTGCATAAGAAGAAATTCAGAATAATACCATGGCTGAGGGGGTCATAGGATACTATGGAAAAATTACTGCTATTGTTTTTTGCTAAATGAACATGATGTGTCAGTCAAATTTTCTTCTAAATCACTGTGTTTATTATTTATATTGGTGATGCTGTCGTCTTTGGTCAGAGAATATTCTTTCTTTAGTAGTTGGTGGTAACTGCAAAGATGTGTAAGTGAGCAAGCTGTAGTGACAGAAATTCCTAAAGAAGAGAAGGACCCTGGAATGGGTGGAATGGGAAGGGGTATGGGAGGTAGCATGTTCTAACCTAGAATAGTGCTTTGCCCTTATCAATGAACTGTGACAGGAAGCTCAAGGCAGGTTCCTCACCAATAACTTCAGAGAAGTCACCTGAAGAAAATGACTGAAGAGAAGGCTGGCATATCACTGTAATCACCAGTTACTGGTTTCCTTTGACAATACATAATGGTTTACTGCTGTCCTTGTCCATGCCTACAGATAATTTGTTTTGTATTTTTGAATAAAGACATTTGTACATTCCTTAAAAAAAAACTGTTGAATGCTCTGCCAGAAATGGAACATCTATGTCATCTCTCAAAGGCTCCGAGAATGTCACAGAAGGGACAGAAAGAATGTAAGAGCTGGAGGGAAACTGAGGTAGAGAGAGTGGGAAAGAATGCTGACTTATGGGCCTGGCATGGCTGCTGCATTCTTGAATTTATGGTTGGTGTGCAACATGGGGCCTACACAACATGGGGCCTATCAATATCCCTTATGGAGGAGAAGTGGGCTCATGAGCCCCCACTGTTGGCATTTAGTCTAGGCTCTGCCCCATAGTTGCCTGGCAACAGCCAGATGTGCCTGACTCACTATAAAAGGGGCTGCTTGCCCCCCCTCTTGCCCACTTGCTCTTGCTCTCTCCCCATTTCCCTCCCCCCTCTCTCTACATGTGCTCATGGCCAGCCTCCTTCTCTACTTCTCTATTCTCCTCTTCCTCCTCCTCCTCTTCCTCCTCCTCCTCTTCCTCTTCCTCCCCCTTCCCCTCCTCCTCCTTCTCCTCCTCTTCTTCTTCTTCTTTTGCCTCTCTCTCTCTCTCTCTCTCTCTCTCTCTCTCTCTCTCTCTGCCCTTCTCTGTCTCTCCTATCCTCTCAACTCCACTCTCCATGTCCTGAATAAACTCTATTTTATACTATACCTCAAGTACCTCAGTGACTGGTACCTCAGGGAGGAAGGGATGCCTCAGCATTGGCTGAAGAGGCAGGCACCCTCTTCCCCCACACCATACCTTGCCTGCATCAAACATATCCCTTCCCCTCTTATCTTTTTATAAGACACAACATCCACTACCACTGAGGATTTGTAAGAAGATAATGGTTGATTGGTTGGTGGGAAAGGGAAAGACATCTTCTTCAGTGGTATGTAGTTACTACTAGGTGTCCATTCTCCTGTAAAGAAATTGTCTATGCTTTGTAAACAGCTTTAATAATAAAGTCAAGGGATCACACACAAAGAAGCCATAGAAGTAGAAGAGAGATGAGTGGATGAGAGAAGGGGAATAAATGGGAGGAGGAGGGCATCAAGAGGGTAATGAGGGTGAATTCAAACAAAATACATTATCTACATTAGGAAACTGTCATACTGAACCCATTATTATATAAAGTGTGTATGTTCTAATAGAAAGTTTAAGAAAATGTATCTAAATTTCCCCTCCCTCAAAATAAGTTACGATCTCCCTCAAATAATTTCAGGCATCAAGTTACACTGCATACATGTTTTTGAAACATCTCCTTAATATCATACCTTTTGATAGAAGAAGCCATTCAGTGTATTTCACCAAACTCTAAGGATAAAACTATTAATTTTAGCTTCTGAGAATTACAAAAATTAATCTCAAGAAATTCAGTGTTGATGAACAAAGGAATAGCTAGGGTCTTTTACAAAAACACAGTGTGCTCTGACATTAACTCACTAATATCACTATAAGTTACTACTCTACAGGTTCTACAACCCTTTGTTGGCATGGAATGTGTCAGAGGAGGGTGGGATCCCTCCGGTGGGCAGTGCTTTTCAGATCTGGCTCAAACATACCAGAATGATATGTGGAGAGAGTTGATGCTGTTAAGCCAGCAGGAAAAGCAGATGTAAGCAGAGAAGAGATGGAGAAGCACTACAAAACACAATAGCAGGACAACGTGTGCAGAGGCCACCATCCCAGAATCACTGTGGGCATGGAGATGGCTCTTCCCACACTGATACTGCATGCCTAGGAACCCTCCTTCTCCCACAGCCTACCATTGTTCTCATTGACGGCATGCCTGACGAAGAAAATGCCAGAGGAAAATGCTGTCTCTTTTCTATTTTCAAGTCATAAATAACCCTCATTTCCTGGAAAAGATTGTCTAGACAGACTTATTACCCTTTGAACAAGCCACAGACTGGTCTTTAAGAACCTTACTTGAAGATGTAAAAAAAAAAATTTCCAACCACTCAGACTTCTAGAGCCTGGGGGTGAGTCCTGCCAGGCATGATCAATGGATGCCTGCTCTCTGGGGTCACAGCTCCTAAGTGTGAATCGCCTGCAGCTAATAAAGATGCCAGTCCTCATTGTGATAAAGCATGTTCTTGCAAAGCCACGGAAAGGAAAATTATAGCAATCAATATATATCAGAATGAAACCGGAAAGAATCATAGAAAGACTAAAAACTGTATAATCTCACTCACGTATGGAATCCAAAAACATGGACTTCAGCAAAGCTGAATGAACATGGAGGAAGGGATGGAGAGAGGTTGCCTAATGAGTACTAAAGATAAAGGTAGCTATGGTGATAGGATAAGTATCAACGTTTTAAGGATTTATTCAGTTTTTTAGTATGTTTTGCCTATAAGTAAGTTAGTGTACCACATGTATGCAGTACTCTGGGGACCAAAAGAAGGTATCAGACCCCCTGACACTAGAGTTCCAGATAGTTATATAGGCGCTGGAAATTGAACCCAACCCTCTGCAAGAGCCACTAGTGCTCTAAACCATGGTACCTTCTCTCCATCCAATAACTATCAATATTGATAATGTACTATAGCTTTTAGAATGCTAGGGAAATGGAATTTGATTATTTTCACCAACGTTTGAGGAAATACATATAAATGATGCTTTGATAACTTCAGTCACAATACAAATGATTTAAATATTCTACAACATATACTGCATGTGTCAAAATATCACATGGTACCCCACAAGTATGTATAATTTTTATGTTGTTATATGCTAGCTAAAAAATGTGTTCAACTAAAAAAACAAATCCTGTTTATCCATGGCCAAGCTTGTTGAGGCTAAAGCTGTGGAATTTACCAGAGAGCAGGTTAAAAATCTAGAGGTGGAATACACAGGCTTCCCAGTGAAATAACAGTCAGAACACACACATGCACACATATATACATGCACGCATATATGCATGCATATACATGTATGCACACTCGTGCATGCACTCACATACACACATGCATACATGCAATGCACATATATATGCACACACATTTGCACACATGCACATACATGCATATGCACACTCACAAAAATGTACACACACATACAGACACACATGCACATACACTCACACACACAAAAACACATTCTTGCACGTAAACCTCAAAAGATGACCCTGGAAACAGTGGACTTACCATTTTTTGTAAAAGAGGGATCTAAAGATATGTTTACACTAATGATCTCAAGATCAGGGATTATCCTGGTTTGTTCAAGTGGACTGAATGCAATCAAGCGTTTTTATGAGACAAATGAGAATGTCAGAGCCAATGAGGCAGTGGAATAAGGTGAGTGCTGGAAAGGACAAGGAACAAGTTCTACCCTGGAACTTTCCAGAGTTCACAGGAAGACAGCTCAGACAACACTTGGAACTTTGCCTGGTTAAAACCTACTTCGTTCTTCCAACTTCCATAACTTTGTGAGGACATAGATTTGCATTGTTTCCAGCCATAGTGTTTATGTCAGCTTGTTGTCGCAGCAATAAGAGACTGATACCGTGGATAACAGTTGACTCGAGTCTCTTTTCTATTTCCTTCTTTACTGTTCCCTTCATCAAATAAAACAATGCAATGACATTTTTGGAATAATCTTTTTTTCTCTCTTTGGGGAGGAACTCTGTAAAATCCTTATTCATTCTCACTTACCATGGTGTTATAGATAACAGCTTATTTGCATTTCTAAATAAAAGCAGGCTGAATACATTTTCTATAGAAAGAGGAATCACTTAAGATACAATGAGCCTAGGGATGTAGCTCAGTTGTTAGAGTGCTTGTCTAGCATGCACAAAGCCCAGATTCCATTCCTACCACTGTATAAAACAGCTATAGTGACATACTCCAGGAATGCCAGTACTTCGGAGGTGATAGCAGGAAAGTCAGAAGTTGTAAGATCATCCTGGGCTACATGAGATCCTGTTTCAAAAGTACAACAAACCCAGACTCATGCCGGGTATTTTGTACATATCTCATGCCATCTTCCTAAACTACCCCACCTCTAATTCTCAACCAAGGGCATTGAGGTTCAAAGAAGTTATACTACTCATTCTGTGAGCTGGCCACCAAGGCCACCAAGTCAGTGAGACTCCAGACTTCTAGCTTCTTCCATTGAGACTATGTTGCTGCTAATGTACTCAAACAAAGCAATAAAATGCTAACAGTAGAAGACCTGCCAAGATAGGGAAGAGACGGTCATTCAGGAGGCAAGCTTCATTCTCTAGAAGGATAAAGGTGAAGGGACAATTTGACTCTTAAAATCCTTTTGAAGGTATCATCATGGACTCCCCCAATCTATTCTTCTTTGGGGCAAAACCAACTGACAATTGCATGTCACCACTCTGACTTCTTTCAAATCTTCTTATAGGGGTATTTGCATTTGGACTTTTTGCTACTGACATTTTTGTAAACGCCGGGCAAGTGGTCACTGGCCACCTAACACCATACTTCCTGACAGTGTGCCAGCCAAACTATACCAGTACAGACTGCCGGGCACACCACCAGTTCATCAACAATGGCAACATCTGCACTGGGGACCTGGAAGTAATAGAAAAAGCTCGGAGGTCCTTTCCCTCCAAACACGCCGCTCTGAGCATTTACTCCGCCTTATATGCCACGGTGAGTGTGAGAGTCTTGCTGTCTCCCTGAGCCAAGGTGTTGCTGGGCTGTGTCTCTCACCTTTTCCACCACCATTCTCTCCTCTCATTCCTGTCACTTGGTAATGTAAGTCAGATAAAACATGTTTCTTTCACCTCATATCACATTGTTGATAAAATGAGCCCTACCCTGATCCATTCCTAATCCTAACCTTATTTCGTCTTTCTCTGATCTATGCTTCTTTTGAACCCAGAACTCAGAAGCACAACTATGAGCTTGAACACACCCAAGCCAACACCACAAGGTCACTCAGTGGTGCATTTGCCATGTGCATTTCACTGGTGCAAATAATCATTGGTCAGAAGGACCCCTAAAGAAGACAGAGCTAAGGCTCCTTTTAAACTGTCCAGATATTCTGGGTACCCTCACCTTACTCTACAGCCCAATCTGCAGCGGGCAGCATCCCCTTCTCCTCCATCCAGGCACTGTTATGGAGGACACATTCTGTCTCCTGGTTAGACTTCTTTTTTTGTTTTGTTTTGTTTTTCTTTACAAAACAAAGAGGGACCATAGGCCAAGAATCCTCAAGGACAGTTAGTTTGTTTTCTGGTTTTCAGAATATTGATTTGTTCCTAAATTTTCTGGAGCATAATTTATATAAAGCCATGTGCTTTTGCCTCCCTCCTGTTTTGTATTTTTATCAGATTCAAGTCATTACTGTGTGAAATTGATTTTGATAATGCCATTATATAAATAAATTGGTAACTTAAACCAGTGTGTCATCATCAGATGAAACCTGAACATCGGCAGCAGCAGAAAGAATTGTGTGTAGTAGGGGCGCACTGCTCAACACACAGGCGTCATTCAAGGGCTCAGACATCGTTCTTTTCAAAACAGGCCTCACACCCAGTTAGATAAACTCAGACACAGCATTCCAACTGAATAAACATTTTCTGTTATGTGCTAAATTATGCTTGCAGGATTACTCAAAACTGATTGATATGCTAATTGCATCATTGCAAGATGCATAGAGGTGCTGAAAGACTATACAGCAGTCATAAATATCTGCAATTATTATGTGCCAAATACAGAGAAAACTCTAATGAAAATATTATTCAGTAGTTATTTCCTAGGTACTATTTAATATTGTGAAGAATATCAACTAATGGTCTGTCTTCTTAATGGTTAATGTTTCATAATGATTCATTAAAAAAAGCATACCTAGAAAACAATATAGAAGCACAAAACATCAAATTGAACATATGTATTTGCATTACGCATTTTAAATAACAATTCCTACACTTTCAGAAGATCACCGTATTCTACAATCTATGTGACTTTGATCTACCAGAGTTTTTGCAGCACCTGTTACACAGGATAAAGAGGTGCCTATATCCCACTAGGATTCATGCTAGAGTTGAAGCATCTTCCTAGAAATTAATTTCCCAATGAAATATTGCCAGATGCATCCATATGAATGTATTCATATACAGGACATCAAATATTCTATAGGTTATAATCTTAAATATCAGCCTTTGGGGGGATTAGTGTTACTGAACTCACCATATTTGATTAGAAATAATGAGATAAGTCTATAGTCTCAGAACCCACATAAGAGGTTGAAACAGAAAGATTGAAGTAAGTTTGAGGCCAGACTTGGCTACGAAGAAGTCCATCCAAAAAGAATAAGGGGAATGGTGGGTCACTATTGCCCTCTAGTGGTATTATATAGTAATTACTAAAGTGTTGCAACTGACTAGAAGCATGTTTTCTTAACTGTGAGCATTGTGGATACATTTGATAACAACATCCCACATTTCTAGTGTCAGAGAGTGCAATAGCTTTTATTTTGTTCAGATCCTTCACCCTTTTACATATTGTGCTACACAGAGAGTTTTAGTGTTTTAAAACACTTTGAAGTAGACAAATGGATAGCAGACAAATGTAGCAGACCACAGTTGTCCCTGACATGAAAATCAACTTCCAGCAGAGTAGTGGCCCATAGTTGTGATTGGACCATTCAGATTAGGTTGATCAGCCAGTTGGTGAACAATTTTATATCATGACCCCAAAGAGTGCAGACACAGTAAAAAGTAAAATGTGAAATCTCTGTCCTACCTGGTATCTTCTGCCACAAACTCATTCAAATAGAAGGTTTACCTGGTATCTAAGAATTTTATATGAGCTTTATGAGTTTTGTAATATCATCACACAATTCTCTGATTATTTTCTTTAAAACTATGTGTTCTGAATCCAGCCATTATTCTTTAGTTATTCCTCCTGACAATATAGTTTCTGTTCATAAACTCATGACGATACAAAAGTGACTAACAGCCTCATGTCCATTGTCATCGCTGCACTGTTTCCTGTCTAACTAGTTTAATGAAGTTGTCCAAAGAATTGTACTTGCTAAGATTCCCTTTCTCAAAGTCCCTGTTTCCGATCTGGGATATGTGTGCACTCCTGTGGATGCTCCAGTACAAGGACTGCTAGGGACTCACTGGTCTCTCTCCCACTGCAGATGTACATCACAAGCACAATCAAGACAAAGAGCAGTCGGCTGGCCAAGCCAGTGCTGTGCTTGGGAACCCTCTGTACAGCCTTCCTAACGGGCCTCAACCGAGTCTCAGAGTACCGGAACCACTGTTCAGACGTGATTGCCGGCTTCATCCTGGGCACCGCAGTGGCCCTGTTTTTGGTAGGTCAGCCTTTTTCTTCCACTTCTTCCATTTTATGTCCTCTGTGTAAAGTCACAGCTCACTGAATTTCCCAGATTCCAGTCTGAGTCGTTGATCCCCATGTCCTCGCCTTCTAAGCAGCAATTCTCCAAAGAATATGTATGCTTCTCTACAAGATGAGAATTAGAGTACCTTTACTTGGAGAAATATGATTGGCCATGTTTCTTGAAAGAGTCAAGGAGAATTCTGTCCCCAAGAAAGATGGCTATGCTCTGTCCTCGAGCTCTCTGCTTGGTCACAAAGACTGATGAAATGGTGTAAGTGTCATGTGAGTGTCTGAGTATTTACACTCAGTGTTTGGGGCTCAGGAACTACGGATTTCTAGGTAGAGCACAGAGGATGGAGGTCACTAGTGGGTCAGACTCCCTCCTGCAAAAGAGGGGTCTGGGACACAGGAACTGTCTTAGTTCACACATACCTACCCTCTTGGACATAGGGAACCACCACAGCTAATCACTCACCTTTTAAAGGCCTCTTTGTTTGAACATGCCTCTTGGCATCTGATTTTAACTAAGTAGCTTCTACAGTTGATCTCCCTGAAGTCTTTTAGCAAGCACAGCTACCTCCAGATCTTCACAGCTCTGAAGATGTTTTAGTTCTTCAAATGGACAGAGACTCATCTATGTGCTCATGTAGAAAATCCAAAAATCTGACTTGAACTGAAAAAAAGAAAGGATCTGCCCTCTTTTTTTCCCCCAGTTCCATTGAAGAATGGTAGGGATATGGTGGTACACACTGTCCAATTTGATGACCTTGACATTTCTCTTAAATTTTCTTTTCCCTTCACCTCAAGCAACTATTAAAGTTTAGTTTGTTTTTTTCTACATTTAGATTTCATGTATATAAAATTACATAATATGTAGTATCTGACATTTTACTTCTACCATAATTTATATTTGGAGACTCATTCGTGTTTTAAGGTACAACAATAATTTACTTCTTTTTATTGTTCTGTAATATTCCATTGTCTGAACACACCAGAGAGGTACAGTTTCATTCTTTGCTTGTTTAGTTTGACAGTCGGTCACTAGGCACATAAGCTCACGTACCCTGCATAAAATGAAGCCACTATCAACATTAAGACCCTCCCTAAGGAGAAGAGGTCACTAAAATCTCAAAGGACCTGCCACCCACCTATTCTGTCCTTTATAGTCCAAGCCCTTTAAGACTAGCAGCATGCATACACTCATGTTACATTCATATATTCCTGTTACTTAACTCTGTTTTCCTTTCTGCTCTCAATATAAAGTATGCACAAATGACTGTCCCAGTCTCCAATTCAGTTGGCTAGCTGCTTTTCCTGAGAATGCTCACACATTTCTACGGAACATTCTTTGTGAAACTATCGTCATTCAACGTTCCCTCCATCAGACCCCAGCTCTCTTTTCCTAATGGAAGAAGATGAGAGGCCGAGGTGTAAATTCTCTTCGTGAAAACACAGAGCAAGTGCTGAAATGATCCCATGCTGCTGGCATCTCATTAGAAAGACTCCCTGGGAAACAGTTTTGAAGGAAAACAAGAATTATAGACGACATTAAGAGAGTTGAGCAGTCTCTCAGGGAAATCGCTGGTACATGAACAAAGATGGGCTAGAAGGCAAGTCACTCTTGACATGTAACATGACTAGAACATACGATCGCCTGCTAAGAAGAAACGGCAGCAGAGATGTCTACACGGTTGCATGGGTCTTTGAGAGACTATCTATGAAAGCCTATGTGTTGCTGGGGTGCTGTATGAGAGTTCTGCTTTAAGATTAGACCTTTCCCTTAGTAATTTTTCTGTCTTCTTTCCTAGCCCTTAGTTATTGTTTGCTCTGTTATTGCCTCCAGTGATTTGACAATTTTGCTTTCATCCAATTTGGTTTGTACTTTAAAAATCAAGATCTGCCATTGAATTGCTGTCCACTCACTTGCACACACATATCCATACTTCAGAGACACACAACAAGCTGGGAATAGAAAGGAAAAAGAAGTCAGAGGGAGGGAGAGAGGGAG